GGGTGACCAACTGGATCGGATGGAGCAGGAGCTCTCCAGAGCGGACCTCTAGGTCAGGCCAAGGCAGACTGGGGTTTTTTTTGGCTGTTTGAATGATGACAGTAGACATGTGTCAAGAACAGTGCTTCTTCTGCATGTTTTAATCTCTTGAAACAAGGGGCTGTCTTTCTCAGGGTGCCCTGTTTTTGGAGCAGGTTTCAAGCTGTAGAGGGAAGACTGTAGTGTTGCAGGGCAGGATTGGGTCTTTTCTTGGTTAATAGTGCCAGACTTACGCAACAGAGAAAGTCAGCACCTGCTTGAGGGCAAACATGGGAGCCTTCGAAGGGACCGGCTCCAAATCTGGCCACAGTGGCGATGGTGACACGTAAACCAATCTCCGTGAAGTAGGCAGATGCGCGTGGTAGGTAATTTACCTGCAAGGAGTCCTCGCATACGGCAGCGATGAGCTTATGGCTGGAGATAATGTCCGTCTTTTCTGTTTGGGCTGAATTTTATCTTCTGACATTGTCTGATTGGCAGGTTGCTCCATTCCTGTTCCCCAGGTAGTGCCCCTCCACTTAGCCAGGGCTAGTTCTGCTCCAGTACCTGCTGGAAGGAGCAGAGATGCAAATGTGAGTATAACGAAGGATGGAAGCCTTCCTCACACTAACTCTTGTGTGCAAAGCTTCCAGGAGCTTGTCTGGCTCTTGTTCTGCATTTTCAACCTGTTTTTCCTTCCTTGGGAGCATGCCTTGCCTTCCCCTCCCTATTCTTACTCACTGGAGCCAGGGAGGACACACCTTTCGCTGCTGCCTCATCCTTGGCTACTGCTGTGTGCTTTGTCAGCTTCCCTGCCTTCTGCACTGTGCCAGGCTCTAGGGAGGGACCCTGGCATAGTTGCAGTTAATGTCATGCTTGCTGCAGGATTTTTTGCTGCTGCTTTTTTTTTTTTTTTTTTTTTGGCAATACACTGCAATGGTAAATGGCAACTTTCTACATTATAATCTGGGTGTGGCTGGCTTGTGCTTGGATGCTATGGAACTTGATGGAAACAAGTTTGCCTGGGAGAATAGTGTTCATTGTGTTGGTCCTCCACTAACGTTGCAGCTTGATGACAGCAATGCTAGAAATGCCTGCTTAAAAATTTTAGTAAGGTAGACATGCACTGAGAACATTCTAGAGCAGTTCATAAGAAATGCTAGGATGCCAGTATTAAATTCCAGTGTGGGAGAACATTGATTTCATCAGTTGCTGCCTGGCAGCACTCTGCTGCTGCTGCCTGTGAATTTATACATTTTTGTTCAGTGCTGGCTGACTTCACCTTGAGAAACAGGTTCAGTCTTTCCAGTCTGTGTGACCCTGCTCTGAGGTCCCCTCAGATGAAAATCACTCCATACGTAAAGATAGTCTTCAGTCATGAGGGTGCTACTTGGCATGACGGTAGAGTCTACTTCTGGCCAGAAAAATTCAGGAGATAACGCAGGAGGACAGTCAACTGATGTTAGGAGTACTCTGAAAGTCTGCAGGGGGAAGGTAAACAGCTTTCCCCAGAGAACAGATTCCCTTCCTTAGGGTGGCCTTAAGGAGCTTCATGTTGGAAAGCGACTGCAGTTGTGAAACAGTGCGTGAGAGCTGTAGTAGGATTTCATCTCATTTTTATTTGGAAGGGAGTTTTTCAAGAGGGATTCTTCTCTTTTCCTCCCAGGAACCATTCCTCATTGGGCACACAACCTTCTCACCTTGGCTAATATGATGAGAAAAAACGCACAGACAGATTTCCTGCAGTCACAGCCAGCGAAATGAAGTTTGCAGATACTACACTGTATCTTTGTCACCCGCCCTTCTTTTCTAATCCTAGCTATATTAATTTATTCAGCGCTGGTTTCCAGAGACAAAATTAATTGGGCCAAGACAGCAGCTTTTTCCTGTAATTGCTTATCTAGAAAAGGCTTGTTGAGTATCTTCTCATGTAAATCATTGCCCAGCAGTGTGAAAATCAACCCACACTTTTGTGGCCGCTAATAAGAGAGATTTGAAATGTGGCTCTCGGCGCAAACTCTGCGTGAAATGTAACATACTTGAGTGTACTACATCATACCCAGTAATACACAGCATATGCTGGCATTTTACTTTGGTGCCTGTTTCTTTCCCAACACACTTGACAGAGCCCTGTTCCCCCGGCCTGCATTTGTGCCAGGGAAGCCATGGCTTCTTGGTACATGAAGTTGGAGCACAGGGAGGGAAGTACTTATATTTTCAGCTCAGAGGCAGTCAAAACACACTTTGGATCAAGATTATCCAGTGTATAGCTGAATGCCCTCAAAAGACATTTGAATCGACTTGTTACAGTGATGTTCAGTTCCCCATAGAGATCAGGGCCCCGTAGGCAACACCTGCTACGTGCCTGGGTATAAACCAGCCTCGGCTGTTGTGTTCTGTTTTGTGTTTTAATCAGTTTAGCTAGAGTGCTGTAAGAGCTTTTGTGGCCTTAATCTGTTTCATTGGTATCAAAGTGTTGACTGAGGGTAGGTAAACTGCCATAAGCTAATTCTGAATCGGAAGCAGTTCAAATGCTGGCAGAAGTACAACTGCCTCATCCATTTTCAAATAGATTAGCATGAGGATGCCGAAGAGTACGTACATGTGTGTTGGTATTTCTCATAGTGCGAGAGGCCTTGCTCCAAAGACTGCCTCGACTGGGAGTATAGACGATGGAAAGGGAATGGAAGGAGACTGACTTCACTCCTGCCACCTCTTAGCTGACTGCAGAAGCTAGGAAGCTCCCGAGTCTGGTGCCTGCCTGGACTGTTGTGTCCTTCCAAGATGAAGAGGTGATGTGCTACCTGGAACGGTATATAAGGGAGAGATTCCCCTTCCTCCACAATACAGCAGTGCCTTTGGCATTTGTTTCCCATGTGCGCATTCCCTTCTGTAGCAACGTCACAGAATTCAGGCTTTCAGAGCTCGAGGCCCTCTGAAACAGACTGGTGAGTCCAGCTGGCCTGCCCCACCCACAGCTCTTGGCCGGCCTGTTGGGGAGTGGAGTTGAGGAGCAGGGCTGAGCTGCCTTTTGAAAGAACTCTTCAAAAGACATGCCAGATGAAAGAGAAGCTATGTAAGAATGGATACAAATTCTGACTGTACCAGTTCTGGAAAGGTTCTGGAAAAACACCTCTCATTCACTTTAGTGCAATCTTAGTTTTAACCTCAGAACCCAGAGAACTTGCATCTCTTTAAGAGAGTTCTGTTCAGAAAAACAGAAATCCTCGGATAATCCCTACAGAATGTAAGAGGCAGTGAGGCTGCATTTGATGAGAGGGAACAGAGTGCCTTGTGTCACCCACAAAAAACACATTCTGGCAAGTGCTTAGTGGGTAGTTTTTGTGGAATCTCTGTTCTTGGAGATAGTTTTTCACTGGACAAGTCTCAGAGCAATGGGACATCCATCTTAAATTTGCCTTACTTTCAGAGGTTTGGATCAGATCAGCTTCACGGATCCCTTCTAACCTAACCTGTTCTAGGATTCTGTGATGGGGTAATAGATAGTTTTTGTTTGTGCTGGGCTGGTTTTTTGTTTGGGGCTGTTTTTTGGTGGGGAGGAGGGCAGTTTTACAAAAGAAGCTTTGTTACCCGGGTTTTAAGGCTGGAGAAGATGAGGCATCCTGAGAAATGCCCCATGTCCTGCAATGGACTAGGAAGGCAAGCTGCAAGCTGTAGTAAAATGCACCTGTAGCTCCCCAGACTGTTCTGAACATGGGATGATACAGCCCTCCAAAGAAGATGTCTCATTGTCCCATTCAGCATGGCTTTAGCATGTATTTATAAGCGCAAGATAACATCCCATGCATCTGCACCAGAAGCTTTATTACCATTTGAGCTGGGCTGTAAACGCCACGCCCTCTGTAACTTTTACTCCGTGCCTGACTCATTAAAATGACATCAGGTTGCTTACTAGAAACCATTAGACTTCATCACTATGTGCAGAGAGAAGTTTCCACTTCTTCCCTCTGTGTTTGACATCCTGCTTTGAGGGTGCTGGCTGACTTCCCTAGGTCAGCGCAAGATGTCTGCGCTCTTTATTAGTGTAGATGGCAGGTTTGGAACCGGTCCAAATTAGGTCAAGAAATCTCCTCTTATGTCAACTTAGCGTCCTTTGTGAAAGGACCACATTGCAGCTCAGCTCCTGGTGGACAAGGAGGCATGTTCAGAACAGTCTCATGGGCATCCCTGCTGGTGCTGTCAGCAAGGGGACTGCCATGGAGCGACACTGAGCAGCGCTTCCTCTACTTTTACCCACTCTGTTCAGTGTGAAGGGGAAGCTTTGTCTTACTGCTGCTGTTCTCCCACCAGCAGAACTGTTTGCAATGGTAGTGCAATCCAACGTAAAGAACCAGTCTAAACTTGCAGGGAAGTTGAGGCACAGCTTTACTTCTCTTTGATCAAGAGAATGGTCATACGGATGGGATATTCTTTCAGCTTGCTGCAGTGCTTTAGCTCTTGAGCAAGAACTTTACTGGTATCTCCAGCGGTCCACTCTGTTGAAAGCAATGGTTGCTAAAGTCAGGGCCATCAGCACTAGCCAACTGGCACAGCTGATGCAAACAATTCAATTTCTACTATGTACATTTAAGTCTCCTTCTCTCTCCCACTCAAAAGAAATCTCTAATGCAAAGCACCCCTGTGCATCTACAATATTGCTCATACAGGATGGCCAGAGGAGAAAGATGCTGTTTACTGTCCTACTGAAGGTGTTAAATCAACAGGCCTTGTGAGAGATGTGCAGAATTGATTTTTGCCTCCTGATTCCCTGCAGTGAGCAAGCATCTCTGGCATTAACACTCCAGTTTATTGGTTTCCTGCACACTAGAGATGGCAGTTTCAGTCATCAGAGCCCTTCTAAAGGATATGCTGTCAGTAGCACATGTGTACACTGCAGTCCTGCACCATCAAGTGATGTCTGATGCACTCTCCATCACATGTGGCTATGCAGCAGGTCTTGCACAGCAAGGAGCAAAAAACTTTGGAGAAACTACAGAGAAGGTCCAATAGTAACCAATAAACAGAGCAAAGCCTATGCATCTGTGGCGTTAGCAGGCCACAGGCAGCCACTGCATGGCAGTTGTGCTGGAAACAATCAGGAGTCTCAGAAGTCACAAAAATAGGTGACGTTTCCAACTGGGACACCGAACACAGACCTCCAGGGCACACAGAAATGGAGCAGATCCACTGCTTACCTAGGCCCATTTGACTGATCATGCCATGTTTGTATAGCACTTAAAGTACACCAAACAAAGACCGGTCAGTCGGCAAACCCTACCTGGTCAGCTGACGTGAGGAAGGTGTTACTGGAGAGGGAATGAGGCACAGTTGTGGAGTAGCTTGTGCAGAGCAACACGGCCTAGCTGAGCCAAGTTCATCAGGTGGAAACTCTCGTCTCTAGACTGTAGTGCCTCTCAAATACACTGCCTACATCTTGGCACACAGGTCAATACGGGATATTTCCCACCCAGGTGACTACATTTTGTATGCCTCTACATACAGCTGTAAACATTGCCTCTTTATCCATGGGCCTGCCCTCCTCTGCTGGCCTTCCCTACTTTTGGGCTCAGATAGTAACAGAGCAAGCAGCAGGCTGAAGGCAGCACTGCATTGTGCCCTTCTGATCAACTTGGGAGTGTGAATTCCTTGAGGGATGAGTTGAGAAAATTGGCTTTTGATGCAGTTTGTAAGGTCTTTGAATTTTAAAGAGAAAGCAAAAATGTATTATTTGAGGAAGCAACTCATCCCTTCCATCCTTTAATATAGGTCAGTGTTTTTTTTTGGAGTCTTTTCCAAAGATGTTTGGGCCTGGGAGGAAAGGGGGTGAGAAATGTTTTAAAAGAGGAGAGGCAAATAATTCAGAGGAAGACAATGCTGAGACATTTACTTTCTTAAGTATTCAGTCCTAGCAGTGGTCTTAGCATGGTAGTTACGTACATAATTAGGGTTGTGTGATGGCAGTGGGAATAGAAGCTACTTAGCAAAACATTGTATATTAAAGCAGATAAGTCAAGAGTGCAAGTTGTGCTCAGGCAGCTCTCAGGCCTGTTAAAGTCTAGAAGCTGTGCTAGGCACTAACTAAATCAAGGAGAGTCACTTGACATTTGCTAGCTGGAAGAGGAGGGTTCCCTTTAAAAGAGGGCTTCCTTATAGCCTTGAGTGATGGCACCGTACATCTGAGCTCTCTCTGGAAATACTAACACTGAACTGCTTAGAGAGAGGACAAGGTTATTAGCTTCAGCAGG